GGGGGGTTAAGAGGTTGGATGGTCGGTTGGTGTTCATGTTGTTCTGAAGGCGCCGATAAAAGAAAACCGAGGAGAGGAAAAAAAAATCAAAATTAAAAATATTTTAACGGTCGGGCGTTGTTCTCTCCCCCTCACCTGAAAAAGGAACGCGGTCCAATTGGCCTCCATGGTTTTGCGGCCGGGAGAAAGGAAGGGGAGGGGGGGAAGAAGAGGAGGAGGAGGAGCCGTTCGCAGGAGGAGGAGGAGGAGGAGAAGAGGGGGGGTTAAAAAATAAATGTCTTCTCGTCGCTCTCTATATAAATGGTTTCTCCTCAGGCCCGGCGGCCTGGTCCTGGTGGCGGCGGCTCCTCGCCGCGCTCGCTCTTCCTGCCTTGCTTAGCTGGCTCGCCCTGGGCCGCGCGCTCTCCCCCGCCCGCCCCCCTCCCCGCCTCCCTCCCCCGGGCCCCCAGCTACATGGAGCCGACAACAAAGCACAAGCGGCGGCGGCTGCCTCTGCTGCTGCTGCGGCGGCGGCGGCGGCGAAGGAGGCGGAGGCGACTCAACATGGCAGCGCCTCAGCGGCCGCGCTTCCGCTAACCCTCGGGCCGTACCATCGCCGCCGTCGGGGGTGGTCGTGGTAGGAGAGAGAGAGAGAGAAGCGAGAGAGCCAGACAAGACAAGCCGCGGTGGGGGGGGGGGAAGCAGGGGGCCCCCGTTCGCCCGCCTCTCCACTGCCTTCCTGGCGGCGCGAGGCGGGGGGGGCGCGCGGCAGGGGGATATTGTGAGGCGGGCGCCCCCGTCGAGGCTGAGAATGGGACGGCCCGCTCTCCTCAAGCGGCTGAGGGGGATTATAAAAAAAAAAGGGGGGGGTGAACCGCGCTGGAGCCTCTTTTGAGCGCTGGGAAAGATGGAGGAGAGGGTGAAGGCCGAGGCTGGTCCCTCAAACTCACCACCACCACCACCACCACCCCTCCTCCGCCCCTCGCTGTCGCTTTGAAACGGAGCGTGCTCTCTTGGGCGGGGGGGGGGGGCAGAAAGGCCTCTCTCTCCAGGGAGCCCGAGTAGCGGGAATTCCCTAACTGCCCCTGTATTATAATCACCTTTTTTAAAAAAAAAATATCAGGCCAAATTTGGACACTCGGATTTGTTTCAAAGTAGAAGAAGCCCATCCTCAAATCACAGCTTTCCTCATGGTGGGAAGGGGGGGAGGAAATTGCCTCAGGAAACCTCAAGAGGTTTTCAAAAGGGCACATTTTCCCCTCAGACTTTGGCCTTTCCCTCAGTGGTTTCCAGTTAGCGATGCGCCGATAATGGAGACCCGCGGGCGAGCATAATATCAACCCCCCAAAGGCAGACAGAGGTGATAAATCAGCCCAGAGGATATGGCCTTGGGAGCATTTACTCAGGAGTAAGACCCTGAAAGAGCAGAAAGGTCAAATCCCAAACAGCAGACCCCAAAAGGGCTGGAGGAAAGAAGTTGAATGCTTCTCTCCTTCCAGTTTTTCCTGCAGGCCAGAGCAAAACCTTATCCATTTCACTGGGAAGCAAGTTACATTTAGTAGTTAAAAATTATATATTTCATCCTTTGCACTGTAGCCACGAAGAGAATAGAAATAACCATTAAAAGCCGCCTCCCTGGCGTGCAAAAGACAGTCCAATCCTAATTGAACCTGGAAGTAATTCCAATTAACATTAAACAGGCTTACTGCAGACTCTTAAGCTCTATTTTTAGGACAGGACTATATTAGAAAGTTATTCAAGATCGATGGCATTCAGTTATAACAATTTTCCATCTGGCAATGTTGCACGTTTCAAAATAAAATATTAAGTTGCTAAAATTATACTGCCCAGTACCTATTTTCCAACTGAATCGAAGAATGGATTGTTTCATTCAAAGAATCATCAAAGAATATTGTTGGTATCTCTCTCTTGTTCAATTTTGATTGAATCTTATTTCCACATTCATTGTAATTCATACAATCCATCTCATTGCCAACCAAAAATTACAACATTTTGTGGCTTTAATAATTTTAGGACATTATTTAGGATGGATTCAGAGCTTGCTTAACTAAAATGGCAATTATCAATTTAACATATTGCATGAACCTAGACAATAGTGGCTGTAAACCACAATTTATGATTTGAGGTGTAAATCCAGCCATTATAGCTCCTTGAACACCATGACTGAAACATATCTTGATCTGTGAACCTAGCTTTAATATCCAGTAATTATTTTTCTTTCCATTTTAATTGGGGAACTGACAGTTTTTCATTTTAAAATAGTGCTGGCCTTTTTCTCG